TGCCAGGATACTAACATTAGCACAAACTAGATGCAATTGCAGCAAATTCCATTTTGTTTTATAGAGGTCTCATCTTTGTGCTGTCAACACACTGAGGTCACACTGCATATTACCATCGAGCAGATCTATCATAGCTGTTGAGATCTGTGTAAATGCATAGTTATATTTCTTGGCAGGTGCAGGTCAGACTGGTGTAGCTTTGCACCCATCGCTACACTGAAAAATCATCTAAATCATGAGGAAGAATCTCAACTAAACACACGTTTTTTTAATTTATTTGGTCAAGGTTGTGAACCTTCAACAATGCAGTGTACCTATCCCACAATTGTTTGTAAACCTAACAGTAATTATACAACAATTCACTTTTAGGTGTAGTATCTGTTTCAAGTTGCATGAAATATCAAATACAAGAAGAGAAGAAAAGGTTTGTGTTCTCTTGGACAAGATTTTAAACATGAAAATCAAGACTATAAAACACTGAGCTGAGAGCTTGACAATGATGGATTATTTAAAATAATCAGTAGTTCTTTTTTTTTTGTACAGGTTCAACCTGTCCGAATGCACAGATTTCATGTCACAACACGACCATGGCATAACAAAAGTCACTGTCAGCACCTTACACAGCAAGCTTATCCTGTCAGCCAACTCACCTCATTTTTGATTGGGTAGGTGGAATCCTGCTGCTTCTTGCTCTTTTTGTCTGGCCGGCTGACGTCCAAATTCTTCATGTAAGTGGTTAGAACCTGGGACACGCCGATGCCTGACAGGATGCACATGACCGGAGCGAGTACCAGCATCAGACGCACCTGAGGAGGAAACAAGCAGTGCAGTTAAAAAACAAAAACAACCAACATATGACACAGACGGGGCGCATACAACATCCTAGACACCATTTCTTGTTTGCTTCGGTTACATTTAATGGTGTAAAAGTGATGCCATCAGGTTGCTTTTAAAATCCCAGAAGCAAACAACTGTCTCAGATGGCATGTGTAACACACACACACACACACACACACACACACACGTTTACAGAAAATAAAAGAAGGGCATTTAGGCAGCAGTACCATGACAGCTGAGAAGTACATGCTGGTGACGCCGTACATGATGATGAAGATCCTGGCATCAGACAGGTTGTTAAAACAGTAGTACAGACCGACTGTAAGAAGAGAAAGGTAAACTGGAATGAAATATAGAGTGATTACAGAATATTAAGCCAGTGCTACGCTGTGCTTTTGCTGCCTTGCCTGGGAACATGAAGACTAGGAGCTGCAGATCAAAGTAGTATGAGGACCAGGTGGTAGGCTGGTGCTCGGACACAGAGGCGATGATGGGGATATTGTTCTTGGCATAGGAAGGGTCCAGCAAGGAGTAGAAACGCCCGGTCCACGGAGAGATTTTACCTGACAGAAACGTGCTTATCATGTCACGTCAAAAGCTTTTAGAAAGGTTTTCCCATTCATTACTGTTATTGTTAATCCTCTTACCTGTCAGCATGAGAACAGCACCTACAGACAACAGGATAAAGCCCACCAGAGAGATGACGCTCTTGAACAGCACCTCAAATTGCTGAGCATTGAGTTTGCTGCGCAGGTAGTCCACAAAAGCATGGATCTGGCACAGACCAAACACGCCAAAGGCTGCCATGTGCTCTGATGACTGCACCGGCTGGTAAATGAAAAAAGGGAGACAAGGAACTGAACAGTGTGATACAAAGCAAAGTGAAACTTCTCATCATGAGAATATCACTACTGTTTAATCTTTAACAAAAAAACATCCTGGAAGGAGGGTGTGTCAGGTGATGAAATGAGATTGTTCTTTTTACCTGGAAACCAACAAAAGAGATTTGCATGGAGAGGATGGTGCCCAGGCAGTAGACTGTGCAGTAAGCCACATATATGCGGTGTGAGAATCGGCCTGTGAGCATCAGAACCAGGACGTGGAGGGGAATAAGGTTGATGAGGAACACGTAGCCACCCCAGGAGGAAACCTAAATGCACACAGAGACCATTTCATGACCAAAGTCACCTCGTAATGCACTCAGTACAACATGCAGATCAGCTGCATCTCCTCACCATGTAGAAGTAAGCCAGCGCACACATGGACGACCAATACACTGAGCCTGTTTTCACAGCCTTGATCCACATGTAGTAGGTCAACAGCATGCAGAAGATGGCAATACCTGAGCAGGGAGGATCATTTTCTTATTATACTGTTTTGCACTTTCGGTGTATATCCTCTAATGCTACAGCTTTACTTTCATTATTGACTGAATATATAACATAGTTTACCAGGGAAAAAGCACTTTCTGACTGATGAATAAAATGAGCAGCCACTGAGTTTCTGTTACCTTCATTATCGTAGGAGCCAGCAACAGAACGAGAGATGTAACCAGGCACCACTGCAATCATGGCAGCTGCCAGGAGCCCAGCACCTGCATCCTGAAGAGACAAAAACACACTTAGTTAAAACTAGTGTAGGTTAACACCACAGTCCTGCAATAAAGAGTCTTTACCATGTTCAGTTTTGTTCTAACAGTCTTAAGCCACTTTCACACACTTTCATTTAAGCTCTGTGGGAGCTTAAGTCTGAGAGGGAGAAAGGACCCCCTAATGGTCCTCTACCTAATCACATGAGCCAAGGTGTGAAAATGGGTGTGGGTCACAATCAGCCAAGGTTTTGGGTGAGCTCATTGGGAAACCTGGCCCCACCCTATCATGTGATTTCCTGAGGTCAGATGGCCCAGGATGTGAGTAGGTGTTAAGGCGTCTGGGAAGGATCTCAAAACTGGATTATAGATGGCAGACAGTTGGTGTCGTAAACCACCGCCTCTGTTTTCCTGTAACATGATTCTTAATGAACAATGTGTCTGTGTTATAGGGTGATTTTCTTTTTACCTTCAGCTCCTTGGTTAAGTGGTACGTGACTATGGCGGTGAATGAGGAGAACAGGGGAGCCAGGAAGACGCAGACATTACGGATGTCAATTGTGATGTGGAAAAAATGTAGGACATGGTACAGGACAGCAGACGTGATCATCAGTCCTGGAGAAAGAAAACAGAAGCACACCATCATAATTTGACGTGAGCCTTCAAAAACTCACGTAACACACAAACTGCTCCACACGACAGGAGAATCTTACGACAATTTATGGTCTTACCCGGATAAATGGTGCCACCAATGATCCTCCCCAGAGGATACCAAGCCCTGTCATCAAACCAGTTGTGAAACTTATAAAATCCTTCTTCTGCCAAGAAGCGGGTGGTACGGTAGTTGAAGTACCTGGTTGTGACATTAAGGTGAAGGTGAGACAGGACTCTTCAGGAGGAAAAACTATTAATGTAATGAATGATGATGCAGACAGTACTTACGGGTCAAACTCATGGATGACACTTTCAAACCTCAACACGGAGAAGAGCCTGGTGGAGAATGCTGAGGAGGGAAAAGAAAGATTACATGGATCATTGTGATGTGTGTGTTGTATAGTGTTGTCCATGCTATCATATTCAGCGAGCAGAGGACTCACAGAGGACAGCGGCCATAGACAGGATCAGTAGCTTCAGCAGCGTGTCCTGTTTCTCATAGGACAAACGCAGGAAGCCCAGCTTGGTCATCTTGGCGAGGTTAGGGAAAGCTACCCGTACTACCTAATGGGAGAAAGACAATGGTTCTAAGCACAATAGAAAAGGCACTACAAATGCACTTTTAGACATATGTTTATGCATGTATAAAAATCCCGCGGAATATGTTTCCAAGTCAGGTTCTAAGAAACAGAATCAGCAATCCAGATGTCAGGAGTTAACTTCCACGTCCAGCCCAACCACATAAGGCCACGCACTAACGTGTGGCGTCACAAAGCAGGAAGTAGACACTCTGGAAACCGTTTGCATGGATTTGTGCCCGTCTATTTCACATGTGCATTAAAAAGGTTTTACGAAAAGTGTCGAACCACTAAGCTCCAACGAGCCCTCATGCTTTCAAGACAGCACCACTATCAGAACGAGCCTCAAGTGCTGACAGCTAACCCACATCACCGAAAGAGCAAATGAACGGCAGCTAATACGGTTAAACCAGATCTCAACAACTGCACATATAAAGTGCATTCAGGCATAGTTGTAGTTTGTGCAGCGTCTTATTGCTAGTTAGCGTCAGGCCGGCTTGCATCCACTTCAAAGTGTGTTAGTTGCTAGGCTAACCTGCTAGCCTCTTTTTAATGAAAACCACAGTCACGCGCCAACTCCCTGGCTTATTCTTTAAAAAGAAGTATCTGCATCTCCTTCATATATAGCAACAGAAAATAAAAACTGGTAGTCCTGGAAAAGCTAACGCTTTTTAATATGTAATCTTCAGACACTTACCCGCTCCGCTCCTGCTACTCACTTTTCACACACAACCCTCACCAAGAGCTAATCCCGCCCCGACTAGAACATACTGCGTGCTTATTGGTTATGTGTCATTCAACGTTTTATTTTCTCGTATCTTATTGGTTCTTTGGATGTCAATCAGATTTTGTTCCTTACCCCGCCGCTGTAGTGTAGTGACGTGTCCTTACCGAGAAAAGAACACAGCCCCCTGTTGGTTGAAAATACTTTCACCTCATTTCGTTGGTGTAGATTCATTCTCATTATTTTTCACGTTGTTTCCTCTTACAAATCAACGTGTTACTTTTGAGTAAAGTTTTTCTTTCTCTCTCTATTAAAATAAAACTGCCCAAAAATAATTAATCCTCCCACTGTATCTTTTGGTGATCGGTTAATCACAGGTCTTTTTAGCTCAATCAAGTACAAAAGTCCATCTGCATCTGTGTTAAGCCAGTTTTCAAAACATCTCTGATACCTTTCTGTTAGATGCCTGAAACATTTTTTTATCAACCATGAACAATTTGGAGTGCAACCCAAGGACCTAATCTGATTTTCAGTGATATAAATCATTTATCTATCCTTATCTTTGCAATGCTGAGTTTGAAATGTGGTAGAGAAACAAAAAACACAGAAACACAAGAGCTCAAATATTGAATACTGACCAATTTTATTCAAATTAGAAGTATTACTTTTACAAAACCTCACTCACAAATATCAGTCTGCACAAACACTATGCTCTTCTTACAATAATTGCACACTGTTTAAAATCATGGCCCCGCTCCACATCCACGAGCTCTGATGAGACAAAGGTTGGGGTGGGGTCACTGTGTGGCGCTGGGCTTCTGACTGAACATTCAGGAGGTATTAACATTATGTACAGCACAAATAACCAAACAGCCAATGATATTTGGGGATCAGTTATATTTGCATCAAGCTCTCTTTAAGGTGCAAGGGGCACTACAGCAAGCGAGTCGAGGCTGATCACCCGTCTGTTGTAAAGCTACGAGCTACATGACTCCTTTGTGACAGAGCTTAGCGTTGAAGTGGTCAAAGTAAAGTTAAAGATGCAGCGGTTTGGCAGTGTCGTCTCATCTATCAATACACTAAAAGCTCTAATGAAGCTTGCCCTTTGCCGGTGTAGCCGTGTGTATTGTGACATTAGACAGCAGAATCCAGACTTTTTATTTTTGGGATGGGACGCAGAGGAACAGTTATGTCAATGCACACAAGTGAATTTCTGGTTGATTTCCGTTACAAAAAGGTCACTCTGCCTTTTAATAGCAGCTCCTGAAACGATGCTTGTACTCTACTGAAAACAAAGCTGTGGGGATTTCAAACTAAAAAGCCTCCCTTTATAACTGTACAAGGTTGCAGACGGGACTGTGAGGAGAGCAGAATTTAATAGAGAAACACGTCCGTGTGCAAGAAAGTGTTGGATCTGTGAGGGAGGAATGTGACTTCTAAGAAAACACACCTGTGCTTTGCTTCTGAACACAAAAAAGCCCCTTCAAAGAGAAAAATATCCTTCTTTAGTCACGTTTACTTAAAGAAATTAAAACTTTGTGATGTCTTGTGCTGTAATTTATTAAAAGGAGAGTCACTCAAATGGCACATTATGCAAAGAAAGAAAGAAAAGTAAAAAGAAGTCTGGATCTTAGTATTTAAAGTGTTTTGAGTGTGAGGCACAGGTCAGTCGATTTTTGTGTCACACAGAAAAGGTGGATAAAAATGAGTAACTGAGGCGGCACAGATTACACAAAAACATGTAAACCCTTCGTCCTGAACCACATGAACCAGCTGAACTCATCTTCATTAAGGGCGATCCTTCTAGAAAAAGAAAAAAAAAATAAATTTTCAGTGAAACCGCTTGTTGGTGACTATCCTATCTCCTTCACTGGGTGGGCAGCAGCCTCTGGCGGGTCGGGGAGGTGTGAGGTGTTGACAGCCTCTCTGTGGAGGCAGATGACGTCAGTGATGACTGCAGGTGGACAGTCTTGTGGAAAAGCTTGTTGCTGATCAGCACGACCAGGGAGAAGAGACGCAGCTGGAAGTGGCTGGAAGAGTGAAATCGACATCAGTCACTTGTGAAATAGATCCTTTTATTTATTGTTCTTACAGTGTGTTGTTGGACACTCACTACAGCTTTGTTGGTGTCTTTGCCTCATTAGCACTGATGATGAACAGAGGGAAAAGGATGGAGAACAAGCAACCGCTGCATAGGAAACAAAGATAGCATTTAAAAACCATTAAAAACAGAGCAGAAGGTCCAAATTCCAGATTCCTCTCTATTAGAAAGTTCTGACATGTTTGTGACCATTCACTATATTTATTTATAACTAATTACTCCTTTGTAATATATTGTAATTATAAATAGTGGAGTTCCTCTCCTTCTCAAAGTGAAGGGGATGAGCAGACCGTTTCCTGAGGAAGCTCAGGAAGCTTTAATGAGTGCAGCAGGATGGTGGAGATCTACCAGTCTGTGGTAGCGAGTTACATCTGTTTTGCTGTTATATGCTGGGGAGAAGGGTCAGCAACAGACCCAGAGATGCTGGAACCATCACTGACCAGAATCTGGAGGCGTTTGAGTCAGTGAGGTTTAGGAGGTCGCTGAACAAACTGCTCTCCATCATGGACAGCCCATCTCTACTGCGCACTTCTGAGGCAGCACAGCTCCATCTCCCTCAGAATAATTCAACAGCGTTGCCATAAAGAACTCTTCCGGAAATCATTCCTATCATTATCTATAAAACTGTACAGTAACTCCTCCTTGTTACGTGTGAACACACCTGCCAGGCATCAGTGTGGACTCTGATGTTTGCTATTTGTCATTGCCATACTCTGATGGAGATGAGACAGCATAAAGGGTGGAGGTAGAAAACTTGTCCCGGTGGTGCTCAAGAAATAACCCGAAGCTGAACGTCCTTAAAACATAAGAACTCATAATGAACTTCAGGAGACACAGACAGGTCCACCTCTCATTATAAACGCAGAACAGGTGGAATCTGTCTCCACCTTCAGTTTTCTGGGCACGCCACATCTCCGCTGATCTGATCTGGACCCACAACACCAACGCGCTGGTAAAGAAGGCCCAACAGCAGCTGCACTTCCTCCTGTCCTGAGGAAGAATAACCTGGACCAGAAGCTGCTGCTGGCCTTCACCGCTCCTCAGTGGAGAGCGTGCTCTCCTACTGCCTGGGTGTTTGGTACACAGGGGACAATAATGAGAACAGGACGGCTGTACTGAGGGTAATTAACACTGCCCTAAAAATCACTGGCTGCCCTCAGCCACCCCTGGAGGCCATCACCAGATCCTCCTGTCTCAGGAAAACCAGGGCCATCCCATGTGACCCCTTGCACCCCGCCCAACAACTGTTTGACTCGCTGGTCGGCACCTCAGGTCAATCAGGTCCCACACCTCCACTCTCACAAACAGCTTCTTCCCCTGAGCCATTCGGACTGTTAACAAACACTATCCCCCCAC